AGTCGCAGGCTTATGGGCATTTCATACAAGCCCAGATGGCTTAGTAGGAGAACAGCGCACTACCCAAGGGGGCTCCCTCCTTAGTGAGGAACTTTGTTAGAAAATGCGGGTCTGGATTAAATAGTATTTTGGCCCGAGGTAGCTGCTCTCCCCTTGGAGCTGAACCTAAACGCAGGTGTGTATTTGTGCTTGGAGCTGGTGTTTTCTTTCCGTGTGATGCATGCAGTGGCTACAACCCTGTTATTTACAACTCTTGGATTGTGTTTGTTCGTAGATATGCCCTGAAGACTAGACAGTTAGTGTTACCTACCACGTAGAACTTCCCGTCAACCAGCTGTCAGCGGCCCGTTAGAGGCTGTTCCGCTCATTCCCCAGCCGTGGGACGGCATCAGCCGGCTTCCCTGATGACACACTGCGACATCCCAGCCCCCTCGGCGGCTTCTCCTTGAAGTCGACTGTTATCAGACACGCATATTTAAATCCCTTTTTCCCATAATTACTCTGAGGGTGACTTTGTAATTTACAAAAAGGATTTAGGAAAATAAACCTAAAAACAAATTTGTAATTCAGAGGACAAACGGAAGCTGTCTTTTCACTGTCTGTGCCTCACCCCCATTAAAACCTGCTTAGGGAAGACAGAAAGTCTGTTTCCTTTAAGCTCACTGAATAGTTGCAGACAGAGGGAAAATGTATGCTTTGGTATGTATCTGTCAGTTGGGAGTACCCAGGATCATCAGAAACAAGTATATAAAAAGCTTCACTTAAGCAGCTTCCCTCTCTTCCCCCAAATAATGCCTGTAGCAGCAGAGATTATAATTCTAATGGGAGCAAGCTAGATTTTCACTATTTTGCGATGGACAGTTTTAACAAGTACAGACGATCAAGTTTGCACTTGACTATGCCAAAAACAAGTTCCAAGCGCTCTCCTCTCAGACATGCTGTATTACTTCTCCTTCAAGACTTAAAAATACAAAGCTATCCAAACTGCTGTCTTAATGTAAATGTAACTATTTTTCCTTCATGTGTTGATTAGGGAGTTGGTTTCTCTCTTAAAAACACTCATTGTACAACTGAGACGAGCTGTCATATTTCTGGCAAAATGTGTTTACTTATTCAGCAAGCTGTTCTGTTGGTGTGTGGACTGACATACAATGTGAACGCCTCGAAGTGTACATGTAGTGGCGTGGTGTTGTCTTGAGGATGTAACTACACGTTTTTAATTTGCTGGTAGACACAGGCTGTTTACAAAATGCTGGCTCAAAAGTCTGTAATTGTCATTTTCTGTAATAACTTTTGGTTAGTTGCCATTGAACACCTGATCTGCTTCTGAGGAGGTGGTGGGTGGTGTACCTGTAAACTGGAGAGTTTAGCATCATCCCTGCTGGCTGTGTGTGAACAGCTTGCTCGTTCGCTGGACCTGAAATGTGTGTTCTCTGCAGAAGCTGTCCGTGTTTGTGGTAACAGTGCTTGTCCACAGTGACCACCGTTGAGCACCTCCCTCATTCTTCCCCTCGCGCAGTATTTGAAACGGTAAAGGGTGAGCTTCGTTCTCAGACAGCTGCCGTGCCGGCCTGTGACTGTGCGTACTCCCCTAGTTAGTTCTGTAGACCCTAAGAACGCTCTGTAATAAAACAGCAAACTGGACTGTGCATCAAGGGGCGTAACATCCCAGGATTCCCAAGGCTGACGTTCTGCTGTTTTGTTATAATGCTTGGTATATATCTTGAATAAAGTCTTAAAGGTTTTCTTTTAAAAAAAATACCTTTGTAATGTTGGACTTATGAGGAAAGAGAAAATACTTGTAAAAAAATGTGAAAGAAAACAAACGTGGAAGGTAGCAAGGATTAGAAGCTGAACGCTCAGCCACTAACAGGCTTGTGCCTGGTGACCTGGCCCTGAACCCACCGTACAGAACTGCTGCAAGGAAAACATTAAACGACACCAGTGTTTTGAAAAACAGGTGATCACATGAATATAAATCTAGTTGTCTGTTTGCTTTACATTTTTAAAGGTTGCCATAGAAACCGGGTAGCTCTGAAACTAGGTACCAGTTCAACTGGAAGGCAGTTTAATTCTGCGAGCAGACTTTTGCCTGTCGTTTTCCTCTTGGAACCTGTGTCCTCATCTGCAGGGCAGAGGGTGGTGCATGTGGAGGTGCGCTGGGGCTACGCCCGCCCTGGCACCACTGCAGCCCCGGCCTTTAGAATACGGGCTGGCCCACTACACTTCCCTGGGTGGTCGCAAAGACATGGAAACTCAGCGTTTGAGATGTCAAATGAAACACTCACCTCTCTTTTCAGTCTTACACTGCATATGGCTGGCGCAGGCACCGTAAAGCGCAGCAGCAGGAAAGGCAGAGCGAGAAGACCAAAAGGGAGATGAAGAGATGGACAGGTGGAAACCACTTACTCATTTACTGAGCCAAGTCCAATGTCAACCAGGTTAAGTGACAGAAAATTTAAGAACTGATGGTGCAGTGTCATGAAGTATCTAGTATTTACAATGCTAGATTATAGTTCCTTATTGATTTAGGTACTAATTTTCATGTTGTTAGAAAACTCAGGAAAATACACAGGATCCCAAGGAATAATTTTCATGTTAGAAAACTCAGGAAAATACACAGGATCCCAAGGAGTTAAACCTGGGTTCTGAGTGACTTATTAGTTGTATTTTGGGTTACTTATTAACCTTCTGTAAGATTCAGTGTCCTCAAATCTAAACTAGGGATAAAGAATATCTCCTTGCAAAGTTGGTATGAGGATTAGCAGCTTTGTAGAAACATGCCCATCCCTATACCCCCCACAAAACAAAGATCATAGACATGAAAGTCCCCTTCCCCCTAAAGCGTTTACCACCGGCCCTTCCCTTCCAGTCCCTCTGGATGCTGAGGCCTGCTGCATCCTTGTCTCTCCCATCCCAGGCCCAGAGGAGAAACCAAAGTGCTTTAGGCCACAGTGACAGAGCCTTGTCCACATGTGCACTCAGAAGTCAAGGCGGCAGAGAGGCGGGGAAAGTGCCTCCCCGCAGCTCCTTCAGGCACAGCCTCCATCCCTCTACCAGTGGCAGGAGCCAGAGGTGAGGAGTGCCCGGAGGCCTTGTCTGTGGTGGATTTCTGCCGTCTCAGAAGTCTGAGGAATGAAAGCCCATCCAAGCAGAATGCCATTCCACGAGTCAGGCTCTTACCTCATCTCAGATCAAACGTCTGTCATTTATGACTTAGTCCCATAAACAGACGCGCTTGGCTGTCTAGGTTTAGAACTCGATTGTCACCCCTTTTCCTTTTAATGAATACACACTATTTCAAAGAATTCCTTTAATGATCCTAGCACATGACACAGAATTTCTATTTGTTTATCTTTCCCCTTAATAACAATAGGGGACCTTCGTCTTATCGTCAGCTATTAAAGAATTTGAAGCAGTAAATAATGGTTTGTCAACCAGGCAAAGTGCTATTGTTTGAAAAATTCTTTCCAGATGATTCTGATGGGAGAGCTGAGAACCACTGCCCTAGATTTTACTCAGTCAACTGTGTTTTCCTCGATGCTTCCCTGACCCTCTTCAAATGAGAAATGCTTATCTCTTGCATCATCTCTAAAATGACTGAGAAGACTTCTTCCCCTTAGTTTCTACAGTGTACCTTTGGAAAATTTTGGAAAAAGTTTATCCTCACAATTAAAAATATGAACTATCATGTGGATAAACTAACTTTTTAAAAATACAGTATCGCCCTGACTGGTTTGGCTCAGTGGATAGAGCGTCAGCCTGGGGACTGAAGGGTCCCGGGTTCGATTCCAGTCAAGGGCATGTACCTTGGTTTCGGGCACGTCCCCAGTAGGGGGTGTGCAGGAGGCAGCTGATCAATGTTTCTCTCTCATCAATGTTTCTAACTCTCTATCCCTCTCCCTCCCTCTCTGTAAAAAAAAATCAATAAAATATATATTTTTTTAAAAAATACAGTATCGCCCTGCCTGCAAGGCTCGAGGGTTGAGCATCGACCTATGAACCAGGAGGTCGAGGTTTGATTCCCGGTCAGGGCACATGCCCGGGTTGCGGGCTCTGTCCCCGGTGAGGGGCGTGCAGGAGGCCGCCGATCCATGATTCTCTCTCATCATGGATGTTTCTCTCACTTCCTCTCCCTTCCTCTCTGAAATCAATAAAAAAAATTTTTTAAATTAACAAAAAATACAGTATGTTTCAACTTGTGAGTATAAGTTTCTATCTTCATTTGTATAGCCACTTCTGCTTCATGAATGGGCATACTCATAGGCTATTTCTTTTGCTCTTCTCTCTATAAAAAAACTGTCCCAATAAACTAAGAACTGCTGTGAACACAGTGAACCTAGTAAATATATTAGCTATGTGCTGCCTCCCGTGCTCACCTCTAAGTGAAACTGTCCTCGTAATTACTTTTTGCTCCACATGAATTGCTAACACAGCCAAGTGAGTCAGGGTGGGCTCCTGACCTGAGAACAGCCAATCCCTGCACTGTTTGCCACGGGAGATGAGACCTGGTGTTAAAAGATAAGCTGGCCAGTTAAGAGCTCTTGGCAATTAGAGACAGGAGCTGAGGGTCATGATGTAGAAAAGCAGAAACTAAGAGTGAGCAAAAGCTATGACAGACAAGTTGGTGAGTAGATAGAAAATGGAGCCTACAATCTATAAAGAACTGAAACACATATATGCAGACCCCAAGCCTAAGGACCCACATTCCCTGCTGCTCAGCTCCTGGAGGTGCCTCCAATCCAGGCTCCCCATAGCATCTGTGCTCTTCCTGAGGCTGCAAGTTGGTTTAGTTCTGGGTGGGAGACGGAGGTGGGCTGGTGGCCTTGAAAACGAGGTCACGCTGCTTGAACTCTCTTTCGCTTTAGAGTCTTTATGTCGTAACCTGAGATTTTTTTGTAACTAAATAAGCCTAACTGGAACAACTAGTTAAGCCATGACCACTTGTTAAAAGTAATCACTAATTTTATCCCTGAACAAAGCTGGGAATGTTTAAGCCATTACATTTTAAAACTGATAAGTTTAATGTTGGTTCTATATATATGTTTTCATATCAGTTAGTACATCAACTCTTACATTCATTTTTGCAAAGACATCATATACCCAAAGATGCATACCCAGTAACGGGAATCGCAGCCCTTCTGACCTACACTTTCAGGTTCGTTCGGTCATGGTACTTCTGGTAAGGGTCGTCAGCATACCAGTTTCGCCTCTTCCAGAAGGATGTCGTCATCTTATCTAGGAGTTTGCTCTGGGTTTTATTGCAGAACACAAATTCCCTCAGGCGCTTTTTCCTTGCAGCCGTCTTCTTCCATAATTTTTTCTTATAACCAGCCTGTTAGATGATATTACAAGGACATTTCAAACATTACATTAGCTTTATTACTCATGGTTTATGGACCCAATGGCAACAAAGACCAACTTTCATTGGGGCTGGTGTGTTTCTCAGAAAGATGTGATTCTCAATGGGGGTTGGAGAAAGCATGGGTAGTTTGAAAAAGAAATATTAACAATTTAATATTTTGAAAAATTTTTAAGTTAAAACCACAGAAAATAAAGCTAAATAAATCTATGTGCCTGGTGAAGTACAGGGTAATGATAGATAATAGCTTACTTTATATGCATTACCTTATTATCTCTTAACAATCTTCAACAACATACTATTATTCTCATTTTACAAATTAAAGAGAAATAGCTACTGATTAGAAAGGTTATGTAGCAGACTGAGGTCAGAGGATGTAGGCACTACACTACTTTTATTCCTAAAGTGGAGGAGCATGAAGGGCGTCCCGGCTAGGTTGATAACATTTATGTCCGTTTAAGGGGCCAAGTATTATAAGGGCCAAGAAGCACAGTTCTCAAATATATTTATTCTTTCCACACACTAGGGACCAATTTCTGTAGTAAATACTCTTGTAAGGAATAATGAATACAGTAAAACTATTACTAGGAGTGGTGAAGGAATGGTTAACCCATGTTTAACCCAGAACTGTCATAAATGTCATAAATGTATTATTAAATTACATTTATACTTAAATGACAATTATTAAAATTATTTTGAAGAATTAATTTCTGAAGAAACAGAAAATTAGATTGAATATAAAAACTATAATCACAGCCTGTTTAAACAAGTAGAGACCATAGGTGCCACCCCGGTTAATGTTTGCCTAAAACCACAGAGTAACTTACAGGGGAGGGGAGACGAGAACCCACGCCACGTGTGAGAGTCCTCGAGTCCTTTTAAGCCAAGCGCTTCAGGGCACCATACTAACTGAACAAAACCACAGCTCTTTGCTGAGAAGGTGTCCTGGGTTTCTGACAAGTCTGTGTCATCACTGTGACCAGCAAGCTCCATAGTACAGTGATGCTCAGAAATCAGTTAACATGCCTGGCCGGTGTGCTCAGTGGTTGAGCGTCAACCTATGAACCAGGAGGTCACGGCTCAATTCCTGGTCAGGGCACATGCCTGGGTTGTGGGCTCAATACCCATTAGGGGGCGTGCAGGAGGCAGCTGATCAATGATTCTCTCTCATCATTGATGTTACTATTTCTCTCTCCCTCTCTCTTCCTCTCTGAAATCAATAAAAAAATAAATAAATAAAAAATAAATAAAAGAAAGAAAGAAAAGGTTAAGAGTTCTGGTTTTAAAATGCTACAGATTAGATTTTTACTACCCATTGATTACAATTTAAAATTGAAAGATTCAAATCAAAATCCTCATATTTGTATAATAATTGTGTAGTTTACAAGCCAAACTGGGTCCCTGTGGACCTCTGACTTACAACTAATTTGCTGTCCTAGCCATCACTGCCAGTATCATTTGAAGATTACTCTGTGGAATGCAATAATGTGAAAACATTTGAAACATTTAGACAACTTCTAGGTTCAGAAATGGAAGGGGAGAATAAACAATAAAAATTAGGGTACCTGGATGGAACAAATACTTTGTTTTTTTTACACATTAGTGTGAATTAATCTGACCAGATTTGTTATTTTCCTCTTAAAATCAGATTTTGCTAAAACAGGCCATTCTGTAGATGGAATACTTTCTGGGGCCCTGAATGGGACTAGTTATGACTGGAGCATTTGACCAGGTCCCCCACAACAACATGAGGGTCTCAGGCCCCAATAAAAGGGACATGGGAAGGCAAAGAAAACCACCCATTTCATTTGATCTAGGGTCAGGTGAGGACCTGGAAATAATTAGTAGAATTACAAGGGAGAGCAAATGTTTCCAATAGTCCAAAATTTTCAAAATTCACAACTATTACCTTAACTACTTAGTTCACCTACGTCAGTGGTCGGCAAACTGCGGCTCGGCAAACCGTGGCCCGCGAGCCACATGCGGCTCTTTGGCCCCTTCAGTGTGGCTCTTCCACAAAATACCGACTTCTGCGCATGTGCCACGAAGTTTCAATCGCACTGTACGTGCGCGCCCGCACGTGGTATTGTGTGGAAGAGCCACACTTAAGGGGCAAAAGAGCCACGCATGTGGCTCGCGAGCCATGGTTTGCCGACCACAGACCTACGTTGATTACATGAACTTTTATCAACTAGTGTAGGAAACTACCACAGTATTGTTCCAGTGGAGAAATGAGCTGAGAGTGCCAATCAACCTATTCACTTACAAATTTAGGGTTGTTTTAGAGATAGGGGATAATCCTTTCAACCTATCAAACAGTGACAAAGTCCTACCAATTGTTTACTTTTATAGGGAAGCAAAATTTGATCTTTAAAGAATCACTGGTTAACTTCCAAATAATAAAAGGACTTTAGGGTTTGAATAGTTATCAAAACTCAAAGATGGTTTTACAAAACTCTGGTTGTCTGCTGCTTTCTACCGATCAGTTACTGTTTCCATGAATAAGGACATGAACAAAAAAGCCCCTAGTCATGCTCACAACACTCTGTGGGGGAGGACAGAGCAGTAACAATTTGGCAGCCCCCCTTAGGCTGTGGTCTGTGGCCAAAGCAAGTACTGGAGTTCTGACCAATATGGTCCCCAATTACACTCACCAACAGAGAAACACATATAAAGTTAAAAAAAAAAAAAAAAAAAGTGTATGTGGGGTTAACGTTCCGCCATAAAGATTAAGCCTGGAGAATCCAATTCAAGGTGGGCTGAAAAGCTCTTCAGCCCCCAAATCTGAGCCATGTGAGTAATGCCTGCTGGAGCCGCCTCGGATATAATACTCAGAGCCTCCCCACAGGTTATTACGCATTACCCACAGGTAAGCCAGTCATGTAAGAGACCTGAGATGAACCTATCCTACACTGAAGACTTTCACCATGTGAATAATGTTTATGAAGGTTTAAACGTGTTCCTTCACATGGATTCATTTACATGAAGTGAAGCCTGCCATGCCAGTACTTAAGCACAGCACTGCAACAGCTATTGGTAAGGTGGGAGAAATAGGTCAATGAATAGGCTGAACTCAGCTTCATTTTAATCTGCTCACACTCCTTTTTCAATCAAGTAACGCTTCATTTTAATCTGCTCACACTCCTTTTTCAATCAAGTGACAGCTGAAGACCCACCTTCCTCCTCAGCCAAAGGCCAGAATGGAGTCGGAGAAACCTGTAGATGACAGCTTTCACAGTCTTTCTCTTGCCTTTTCGTGCACTGTAGTATGTTACAGTTCTGACCGGTAGCTTCAGGACATCTGGAAGCAGGGGGGCCACTCTAAAATAGATTTTTAAAATTTTAACTGAGCAGTAAGAATGATTAAATGATAAAATCCATTTCTACGCTTAGAAATAAGTAAAGCAGTTCCACCGGAACACAGCTGACTTTTTAAAATTTTATTTATTTATTTATTTATTTTTATTGCTTAAAGTATTACAAAGAGTATTACATATGTCTCCTCCCCCTCTCCCCCCAC